CCTTTGAGATTTGGTGTAGGTAAAAAAATTAAAGAATTATAAAACATAAAATGAAACAAAGCACTGGGACAACAAAAGGTGTTCAGCAATAAAATCAGAGAGATTATTAGGAGTAAGTTGCTTGATTCCTGCTCAGCAGAGGGTTAGCTACAAACATGTTAAACATTCAGCAAATCTCTGAGATGAAATTTTGGAATACCCTGTGTTCAATTTAAAAGATTTTAAAAGGAAGTGCAAGATCATAATAAAACTACTGAATTAAGGACAAAGCCTAAAAATGCCTCTTGACAATTTTTGAAATCTATTTGCATTATTTAACCAAAGTATAGAACTCAGAAGGCTTATAGTGTTGGTCTTCAAAAAGGATGTATTGAAAAAGCTCCACCTCAAAAGTAAATAAGGAAAGATCATGGAAAATTATCACTAACACAGCAACAGGAAAAAGGCATGTCCAAAGATCTGATGTGCTGGGCTTGCAGGGTACTTACCTCAATCTGCCCATGTTCTTTGAAAGAAAGTTTGATGTAGGTATATTTGCTGCTTTGGAATGGACCAGGCTCTTTGTTTGAAGACACAGGATGAAGATGAACTACTATTTTGGCACTAAGAAAAAGTTAAAGAGAGGAGGCAGTTGTCATACCCAAAAAAATATTTCTAAAATCAAAGTTAACAATTTAATCAAAACCTGTATTAACTTTATCTCATATAAGAGCTAAAGTACATCAAATAATGCTTTATGTTTGTGCATCAACATTTAAGTATTTTGATGCAGTTATTATAGTAGAACTTGCTCACAACCTGGTAAAACTTCTAAAAGCAGCAACATTTTACAGATTTAAAAAGTACCCATAACCACTTCTCCAGAAATGAACATAATACATTTTAACATTTCAAGCAATAATTTCTGAAAAGTATTTTAGTTAAATAAAAAAATAAGTCAAGTAGTCATTTGATTTGTCTTTTGACTTGCAAGAACTACTGCCAAAATACACTATCTTTGTCACAGGAAAACAAAAGGTCTCAATATTATGTTGAATCTACCCCACTTGCATGTCACTTGTGAACACTGTAAGTGAACTTGTCCAAAACCAACATTCAAAGGTAACGTGCATGGAAATAACAGTCTAAAATGACACCTACCACTAAAACAAACCTTGAGATAGCATTATTCCAGGAACATAATGGACTACTATTACAGCATAACTTCAAGTCCACCATTCCCATTTCATTTTACTGATACTTTTTTAATGGGTTTTTATTTACTTGACTTTTCTAGCACTAGTGAATTATCTAATCTCTGCTGGATAACTGCAGCATATCACCTTACACATCTGACTGGAGGTTGCAAGCAGATGTCAAGTACATATATATTTCTCCTGTTAATATATTTTTTCGTTTTCTTTTGAAACTTTTTTAAACACATACCAAACTGAATTAGTTTTTCAAGTGAGTGGAAGCACTTAAATCCCTTCTAACCGTGCTGGCATTTCCACAATAAAAATCAATCATATAATCATGAGAAGTGGAATAATAAGGGATTTGGAAGAGTTTCTATCCCCAACCAGATCTGTGGCACAAAAGAGTAAAAACAGCTTTCACATTTAGATCCAGCAAAATCACTATTGTCATTTATGACTAATCAAATGAAAACAGCAAGCTAGAACAGTCGGTTGTTAAGTGACTACAAGACAATTATTTAACAAATCATATCAAACACTGCTTTGTCATGACTCTCGTACATATTCAATGTCAGTGAGGGAAGCAGGTTTTTGTGGCTGTCAGTCTGGAAACGTAATTTGCAAATGGAATCTACCATGAATGAATGTATAATCATGAGTATCTCCCATAACATGCATGTGCAGACTACTCACCTGAAAAAGCCAATGACTATCACCTTACCTTTTTCCTATCCCAGCTGCTTGTTCTTCAATAAAGACAACCTGAGACAGAGGTATAGCAAAGCAGCACTCCTGGAATAATCAACAGAAACACAAGTGAAATTAAAGCAATATCCTAACTATTCATTCTCTAAAATTAAATGGTTTTGTGTCAGTGTGAAAACTTCAGACACTTCAAGCTAGATTCACAGAAGGACTCAGGAATTTAACAAATCTAAAGTATCTAGAGGTCAAAACACTAAAATTTCCATACTACTGCAGCTTATCCTTGTAGGTACACCATATTATACTGCAGCTTATCCTTGTAGGTACACCATATTTAGAAGTTCTTAACATTTTTTGCATTGATGTAACTTTGGTAGCTGAAAGAATCTTCATAAACAGCAGTTTTTAAAGTGTTGAATATCCAGAAAACTAGACTATCCTCTGAGTGGAACAGGAATTTCTCCACCTGTCCCAAACGCAAGGACTTAATCCAGAGCTTAATGGATCTCAACACACATTTATTGGACAAGACAAAGCAGAGCAAGAAACAAGACTGTATCCATCTGTGGGAGACTAACTTATCCATACTCCTTGTATGTGCATTTGAGACAGAAATTTCTCAAGGGAGTAATTCAAAGCATCTAATTAGGAGCCTGGTCTTGTTTTGGTGAATATCCTCTGGTGAACATTGGAGAACTTATTCTCCAAGTTTCTTCTCAGCTGATTTAGCAAATTCAATTGCCTTGGATAAGTACAAGAAATGTGTGGCCTAGAAGGAGAGGGAGAAGTTGAGGAAAACAGACAAATGTCATTCTTCTGTTGGGCAAGAGAGAATAGGGATATGGACAGTTTTAAGACTTGCTGAAGCCATAATGCTTAATGTTACTCCAAGCAAGCAAAAAGTCCAAAGTGAGACTGTTAGAAGCAGGACATGCTGCAGTACATGCCCACCTCTGAAAAAGAGATGCTGATGAAGAACTAAGAAATTATGAACACAGACAGTTTTGCACAGATAAATTATCTTGTGTTGACAATGCCAAAAAAAAAAAAAAAAGTTAATTTATACAGAATAGCTCATAATCTGGACAACCAACCCCTGATTTGTTTAATAGTAACTCCACCCTGAGGAACAGCTCTCAAAACGTTTTGAAAGATTTATACTAAAAATAGTTCTGCTGTTCCTGCAAACAATCCATAATGAAAAAAACATACTGCTTTGCCAAACGAAGAACATTCTTGGTGATCTTACCTTCAGAAGGCTCTTAGTAGCTCCTTGCTTTGGAGCAAGGATGTGGTATTTGGTAAGGAACAGCCTTTGGGTACATGAGGTGCTTTAGCTATTCTTGCACAAAACTAGTCCAGTGGAATATACCTCACCTCTGAAAAGTTGTCATCTGAACATGCTCTGTCTAAACTTTGGCTTCCGGGGCTAAGTGTCTAAAAGACTTTGTCCAAATCAAACATAATTCAACCTAGTTCTGAGGACTTCTTCGATTGCAGCTGTAAGGTGGTGCACACTGTCACAGTCTACCTTTGCAAGTGTTTGTAGTCCTCACCCATTTCTAGCCTGCAGCCTGAGGCTGCGGCTTGGTGATTCAAAGCAGCTCTGGCACTGCGACTTAACCTCCCAGTCAGCTCTCCATAGCAGTACAGACATTTTGGCTTATTGAAGGGATGGTTCAGCACAGACTGGCAGCTGGGAGGGTGAGATTGTACAAAATCATACTGCCACCAAATTAACAGCAAACCATAGTCTGGGACTACACGGTGGGAGCAGAAGACAGGGAAACTTGGACAGCAAAACAATGAGGAAGAAAAGGTCTTGCTGGACAAGGGGTATGGCAAACGAGTTCACATTATGAGATATTCAACTTCAGTCTCAAAATCAATGTTTTTAGTGCATGATACCAAGCTCTTTTCTCCTCTGGTTTTGTGCCATAAAAAGGAAAACTTATGATTCACTCACATACCTCCTCCTCTCTGCATGATTATTTTATTAAAGCAGGATTGGGTGAGAGAACATCCCTGTATGTAATTTTCTTTCCACTGTGGACCAAAAAATGGACTAGACTTGTAAAACAAAACACACACAAAGGAACTAAAAATCTCCTCTCCGTGTGCAGTCTTTTCATTGCAAGCTACCTGTAGTTTATCATGGAATTTACAACTGAATGACATAAAGAGACAAAAGTGGACTTACATGATTTTTCTGATCCCTCCAAATTAGTCTGTGTGTGCTAAGCAGTAACACCCCACTATCAAATTTCACCTAAACAGGAAAAATAAGATAGATCAACAACAAATTTAACCAGTAAGTTGTATAAATATTGATCTTGGAAACATTACACATTACCACAACACAGCAATCAGATACAACAAGCTAATATTTTGAGAACATTCTCTTTTTCAGAAAACACAATAAATACATTTTTGGAAACAATGGAGAAAAACAGTATAAAAGGATTAGATGGATATAAACAAAATTCCTTTTTCTACTGTATAAACTTTCCCCCAGGAAATCCTGAATTATCCTTCCTCCATATGCTGTGCAAGATATACAAACATTCTTAAATATCATATTTTAAACAGGACTGTTGGCTCTGGAAAACTGTTTGCTTATAAAGAAAGTAAAAGTAATGCAAAAAAAGTATAATAACCTAATAAGATGCTATGCAGAGTCTGAAATCTCCTGGCCTATCACACAGGAGTACTGCTTCCATTAATTTTATTGTTGAAAAGTTATTTATCAGACAGTAACAGCAAACTGCCTCCTTGAGGCACGTTGTCTCAGCTATTTCTGAGGGTATGCAACTCCTGTGGTGTGGGAAAATTAAGAGATCAAGAGTTAGTCCTGCAGTGAAGTGAAGCAGTAAGTGGGTTGGCTCAGGGAAGAGCAGAGGGCAAAAGAGCACCCTTGGGACCAGAGCATCTACGGCTACCAGGGTGACTTAGATGGGAACTGTGTGAGGTGCCCCTACATGACACCTACATGAAGGCAGAAATCAGAACGTGCAGAGCAAGGCAGGGAGCGCCCAGGGCCTGACACGGGAAGTGGCAGCCCAGGCCCTGGACGTGACATTCCCTGGCAGTGACACCAGCCGCACACGGCCTGTGGGGATGCCGGCCCTCCCTCCGTGTGGCACACACCGCCCAAGGCCTTCCTCGCTCCCACAAAGCCTGGATCTCCTCCCTAAACACTCTTCTCGCACAGCCCAACCCTGCCAGCCCCTGGAGCAAAGTCACCCATCCTCCCAGGCCCTGATCGGTGCTCCCT